TAACCGAGATTTAAGTTCTTTAGTTGCGAACTTGCATTTTGAGGCGTTAATTGTAAGACCGGCCTCTTTTTAATAATTTAAAAACTTGTTCGAGATCACTAATGTGTTGTTCCAACGTACTACTCGTTATAATTATATCATCTAGATAAATTAAAGTTGATTTTCCTAGGACAGGCTTTAGAACAATGTCCATAGCTCTCTGGAATGTTGACGGGGCCCCACACAACCCAAAGGCATGCGTAAAAATGCATAAGTGCCCGATTTTGTTATAAACGCGGTTTTATGTATATCTTCTGGTCTCATAGCTATTTGATAGTAGCCAGAACGTTAAGTCCAAAGTAGACATATATCTCTAGTCGACTTTATCTTGTCTAATGATCTCGTCCTCATATCACCGGCAAAGGGTGAACCTGGGAATTTAGTTAATGCTATTTAGTTTTCTGTTAATCGATAGCAAACCTCCAAGCCCTTTTATCCGAAGGAGGGAAGTCGTTCTTTTAGATCGTTCTTTTTCCTACATAGTACGACTGGACTCGCGTATTCACTATTTATGGGCGTTATTATTTTATTCTTTAACATCTCCTGAATATGTTCTTCGATGATTACGTCTTTTTGTTTGTCATAGCGGTAAGGTTTAGTCCTACAAGGTTTTTCGGCATTTAATTGAATCTTGTGAGTTACAATCTGACAGTTTCCCGGCTTTTCTGAAAACAAATGAGAAAAATTACTCACCACTTGCTGTATTGCTTTACTTTCCTGGTCATTCAAATGGCTAAGGTCCAATTCAGGTGTCTCCACCGGTTCCACCACCCTCTGGTCCATCTCCAGCACCACGGAACTATCTTGAAAATTTAATTTGGCCCTCGCGGCCCTTAAAAAGTCCATACCTAAAATAAGAGAGTGTTGGAGGTGTTTCACCACAAAAAATTAATACTTTGAGATTTTCCTCTTTTACCTGTACGTTTAATGCTACTTTCCCGATGCAGTGACATGTTTTTCCTTGCGCCGCTATAATTTCCGTATTTCTGGTTTTAAAGAGTCGTATCCTATAAAAATTCTTTTTGAAGAACTTTTCACTCATGAAATTGCCTTCTGCCCCTGTATCGATGAGGGCTTCTACTGGTACATCGCCAACCAGGACTTGTATAATTGGTAGCTGTGAGTTTTTTACGATGACTGTATTTAGATGTATATTTGAGGGTTTTTCTAAAACTTCCGGGGTCTGGACCTTCCCTTTCACAGGCCCCTCTAGTCGTTTAAAGCTTTCCTTTCAATCTGTGTCTTCTGGGTACGCGGATGCTTATTTTCAAATTTTCTTTTTGGGCCTTGCCCTTCAAGTTTCGATGCGTTAGCTTGATAGTTCTTTCCCCCATATGAGCGATTTCCATTTCTTGTTCCCTCCTTCCTTCTGGTACTTTGAGAATATGTTTCCCCTCTCGCTCTTTCCGCGATTCTGCAACTTCACCGCCAATTCGAAAAGTTCCTGCAATGTGGTTGGGTTTCTAATTTCAAAGTAGTCTTGGACAGCGGGTAACAATCTTGGTAATATTATTTCAATAATCTCCGCATCGGGTTTTTTCCCATACAACATATCCGTTAGCTTGATTTTTCGTAAAATAAAGTCCGTCAATTGTGCTGTATCCCGTTGATAGAAACTATATAGCTCGGCTTCCAGCCGTGCGCGATCTTTCACTATGGGGAAGGCCTTTACTAACGATTTTTTGAAATTTTCAAAAATATACGTCGGGCTTCCAAATTCACCTAGAAGAAATTTGCCTATATTTTTCCACCATAGCGCGGCCTGTCCTCTTAGTGCTGATGTGGCGATAGCAACTTTTTGTCTTTCGGGCACAGGATAGAGCTGAAAGTGGTTTTCTATACCTTCTAAAAATACGGACACCGAATTTTTTGCATAGACGTTTGGCTTGATTGATGCTCTCAAAGTCTGGACCAGGTATCCAAATCCTTCTAACTGCGTTGTCATTTCTTGGTGTTGTCCAGCGGCTTCCATCCAGTTTTCGGCCATTTCAGTTCGATAAGTGTTCGGGCGCCAATATAACGTTGCGCGCCTCTAACTAGCACGCAACCAAGAGGTGACTGTGAAAGCTTGTATAAACCACAGAGTCTTATAAAGGGTTTAAGTCCCTTTTTATTCAACGTACTAATTTACAATTGCGTTCTCTTGACGCTTACAAACGGTGCCAACTCGGCAGTTTAAAATAAAATAAAAACCTGAAAAGAAATTAAAGACAATATTCTAACTACGAGGCTCTCTCAAATAACTAACTCACCGCGTTTTACAATACGGCTGCTAATTCAGCAGACTTGAAGCTCACTGGAACAATTGCAACTACTTCCCGCCAAGCACATAGGCCGCAACGCGGGGTTTTTTCAAATCTCTATAACTACCTCCGCGCTCGCTAAGTAAGAATAACTCTCTCTCACCGAACTTGTTTCCTTCTATTTAAATCATACTACTTCCGCTGATAATTTGAATGCTTGCGCGTTCTACTCAAATTTACATATTCTGGCATTGGCAGTTCCAGGGGAAAGTAAGGATTGACAGGAAAGATAGTTTAAACTTAAAATAAATGTTAGTTAAAATAAATATAAACCCTACAACATCATACACATATTTAGACGATCAAGTTACCACAATACATAAAACACATTTAGAGTTATGTTCTTGCTCCTTTCTCAGTGAAACACAATTTCCAATTAAAATTAGCTTTAAAAAGAAGAATAAAATATCTTATTGAATTTTGACATCGTAACATGCTTTGAAGAATCAAACTGTCACAAAATCAAATTGCCCGTGATTTAAATCTTATATTTATGACACTAGTCTTATATTACATTCTGACGCGTAATTTAGATACGTGCAAACTTAATTTTCAACAGACGCAAAATGCTCAAAATGTTATTACATTTTGGGTTGTTAACAAATCCTAGTGAAAGAATTGCAGACTACATTTCACCTTTTACCATTTACAGAAATCGTGATCGAATACTGGAAAAATGCAAATGTCTGTAAGTGCTTAGCGTTTTCGCAGCATTGGGGCACATAACATACCGTGAATTCGAATGTTTCTCGAAGGTCTGAGGGTGGGGAAGAGAGAGGAGAAACTCAAGGAACTGTACACCTGAGGAATCCATTCTCCTACAAATCTGGGACATAGTAGGAGATTAATATCGTTACTAGTAAATTGCCTAGGGTTTAAACCAAAGCGAAAACCTGCGCTCGTAACTACGCCCAAATTCGTAGATTTGATCCGTTGAATTGCAAATAGCCTTGAATATTAGTAAATTATAATGTTATTTCATTCATTCAAAATTAACGCCGTGCCTTTATAGTTGAAGAAATGAAAATATGGCAAAGTATTTGGAGAGCAATTCTTTCCCCTTTTAAAGAATAAATCGTTCGCATTATGCATTTTATCTCTTTCATAAATATAACAAACAATTAGCAAGATTTTTCCAACTGCCCACTCATTCGTCCCCATGTCCAATCAGCAGGGGTCCAAATGAAGAAAGTTCCTCTAAATTTATTTATTTATTGCCTTTTGTTCAAAATGTTTAATCTTTAAAATTTTCAACTAGGTTTTTATTTTCTGTTTTATAAGCCACCTCTTAAGAAACAACATATAAAATTAAATAAGTTAGAAAAGGTATTACGTCTGTGAATGTATTCTTCTTCTTGAATACCTAGTTCAAGCTGCACGCGCCTCTTGCAAAGATTAGTAATTCAATTACAACCAATATACTCAAAAATCAAAAAGCAAAATTTCCTGAGAAAGATGTAACAGTCGTAGCCATCAGTATTCAGGTGTAAAAATACATTCATTATTTTTTGCTTTTCGTAGCATGTGTATCTTGCAACAAGATGTATACAATAAAAAATTGTACGAAATTTAATTTTCACCTCGAACTTTAAATTTATATTTTAATAACAACATTTATAGATGTTTTCCTCTCCTTTATTTCTTTTATCAAGATGAATTTCAAGACCGAAGTAGCAAGAAAATAAGATAATTAAAAGCTTTCTGAAAGCAGACATCAATTTAAAATACGTGTAAAAAGGAAACAGATATTTAAGTTATTCTCAAGGCTTGCCAACATACTTTCGAATCCGAGACATTTGAGGATAATAAAAAGGCCTCAAAACTCCAATAAGAAAATCTAGTCATTTCTCCCGAACATGGAAATACCAGACAGAAAATTACTCAGTTTTCTTCCTGTAAGTCTGGCGTACAGACGAGGGTAAACAAATATGCAATACCAAGACTTATATCCACTTTTAGATTCAAGGTCAGTACACTCTTGATTGAATACTTCAGATATCAGCGTTTCCGCCACAGGCAGATCGAATGCTTCAAAGCTCAAAGATGCGGAGAATGTTTTTTAACTTGTTTGCGTTGAGTTAAAGAAAGATGATAAAGTAAGATGCCTATGGTGCTTTTCTGTTCAACTATCGAACTTCCGCTCATAATTCAAGCTTCCGAACCTTCAAAATCAAAAGTTAGCTCTAGATAAATACTACAAAAACAACGTAATGGGACGAAGAATAGGACACAGAACGTAAGCAGAAGAGACAGACAAAAAATACAAGCACTTGATTGAAAATTTATGCACAAAAGTCAGTTTCCCAACATAAAATCTAACAGTAAAGATATTTCTATCCTAGTCTATCATAATATGAATTACGTCGTCTAAGAAATTATCCATCTTAAGAACTTTAAAAGAAGTGTGCAGTCGGAAAACTAAAAATAGGACTGAAATTGTTTGAATTAAAGGAAATGCTTTAATTCATTCCCATTAATTACGAAAGAATTATTATTTAACTGTTCTATTTCATCAACAAATAAAATAATGGCTTTGCAGAAAACATTTAGAATTATATAGATGTTTTGATTTTGCCTCTGGTATGCACATTCAGATATATATATATATATACGTATGCAATTAAAAAATTATATTCAACACATGTGTAAATTACTTACTATCGATCACTTCGAATCTGGCACGAGAAACGACCATTCATAGGGGGAACTGGTCTGTCACAATGCCTCGCAGCTGTGAGATACCAAAATTTCTAGACATATTCAATGCTATATTTGACTTGTGTAAATCACAATAAAATAAATAAGATTATATTGTAGAGTATAAATATTTATAAATTGTACAAACTAAATTATGTTATTTATTTATAATTATTAGCTAAATATATTTAATTTTATATTGCTATTTAAAGAACACTGTACATTATCTGTAATTGGGAACTATAATAATGAAAGCTTGGATTATGATAAGATATGCAATTTTTTCCTATTTTTTTTCTTGTTTGAGTATTTTCCTTCTTTGAAGTATTTTTAGAGCATTTTTAGGAATTTCTAGAGCATTTTGGGATTTTCAGAGAATTCTGAAACGTATTCTACAGAATAAAATGAAAGTTTGAAGTTGTTTCTAAGAAAATATAAAGCAATCATTGCTGAATTATCTGAATGGTAACGTCTTGAACTTATGTCATAAAATTATGTTTTATCGAAATTTAATGCATTTTGAGAAATGATAATTTGACTGTGGAAAAAGGTGTCAATAATGTTTCGTATTCATTGAACTGAGTTCCCTAGGATTCCTTAAAGACAACACTAGAGATACCTCAAAGTAATTCAAATACGAAAAGTTTATTTAAAAAAGACTTTGAAATCCCAGAAAGATTATTTTATCATTCTTCTTGTTTCGTTTTATAAAGCAGTCTTTATTATGTTTATACATTATTATTATTTTTATACATTAATAACTATTCTTCAATACCAAGTATGGATTTGTATTCGTAAGCAAAAATGTTCCTGTCGAATCTGCAAAATACGAAACATAATGACTCTGTTAACTTAACTATCTGAAGGAATTGGTATGCATTGTGTGTGTATGTGTGTGTGTGTATTTAATTATGGCAAAGCACACGAGGGCTATCTGCCTAAAGGGAGGGATGCCTTTCGTGGAGGACTTTCTAAGGGAAACTGGCTCGTATACACGTTACACATGGGGAAAACCACGAAAACGCCCATGCAGCCAGCCCGTTCGCGGGATTCGAACCTCAGACCGAACTACCAGTGTTCAGCGTCTTTACCGCTCGGCCGCTGGTGGGCTGGTATGCATTGCGAAATGTATTATGGGTTGGGTTATTTTTGGTTTTATGTGTTTAAAGTTTAAAAATTAAATGTAACTTTACAATATTCAATTTAAAACATGATGAGGCTGATATCTGCAATGACGTTAGAAAATTAGGTGATTCAATTATTTGTGATGTTGACAGTTGATGTAACCAAACTGTAGACCTAAAGCAGGCCACTGTTATGTGTTCAACAGTTCCAGTTTATTCAAGTTATCCTGACTCCAAATATTTGTAATATCAATATGGTTCATTTGCTTTTTTAACACTGATAAAATTAAAATTAATATTATTTTTTTAAGTATGTTAATGTTTCTGATGATAGAAATCATATAGATCATAATACATTACAGAGCTTATACCTTTAAATAGTTCTTAAATAGATTGAAATGGGGTTACGCTTTTGAAACTCCACATTCATATAAAGTTACAGCGCTACCTGTTTGACAAATATAATACATGTTTTTTATTCCAAATCTTTTCAGTAATTCTGAGAGTAGTTTACAGTAATGTTTTCAGTCAACTCAGTAAGTCTAAAAATTTAATAATATCCGTATTTATATGTATGTTTACATTTTCTATTACATTATATTTACATTACAGGTCAATGAAAAAAACGTCTCGTTTTAACATTGATTGAAAAGAAATAAGTTACATGTTTTGTTCGACACAAATAAAAAGTAATTTCTTCGTTAGTGAAATAAAGTAAAAAAAAAAAAAAAGCGTACGTTTAGTTTTAAAGCTAACATAAATAAAATTAACTTCATTGCTTCTTTGAGTTGAAGTAAAAATTAATTTCTTACTTAATTTTGTCGGAATAAATATATTTTTTCATACGAATGTATTAATATTTTTCCTTTCTAATTTTACGATCTTTGTTGAAACAGAGTACGACAAGCAAGAAAGAATAAATAAATAAAAACACAATAAAATATTAGTAGTGGGTAATTTACCAACTTCCACTTAGTAGTATTATGGACTGGTGGTAGTATTATTAGTAGTGTAACTAGTATTATTATTAGATAGCACTTAGTAGTATTATTAGTAGTGGATAATTTACCCACTACTGAGTAGTTTACCTACTACTAATACTCTGTTCTGTGTCCCAAAATATTTGCATTTGAAGAACCACACAGAATAGACAAAAGATGTTTTTTGACTGGAATAGGGTCTCAACTGATCTTGATATTTGGAAGTTTTATGCCATCTGCTTTGGAAATGTGAAAATTGCTACTCGAGAATTTTGTTCCGAACTTTATTTCGTAAGTATACCCATGGAACTTAAGGAATTTCTGTGGAATATCTATATAGAATACTTTTTTAAATATTCTATCATAGAATGAAATCAAAATATAATAAAAAAAAATTTGAAAACAATTTCACCGTGGAAGAGTTATTCAGGAAGCTCAACAGGTTAATACGCATATATGAATTTATGTAGATAAAATGTGCATATGATAACTGAAGAATCCCATCTATGTTATCATCTACACCTTTTAACAAGCTTTTATTCTTCTTCCTTCTTTTTCTCCTCCAAAAAGGACATAAAGATAAAAGAGATTCTCTAAATGTAATTAAAAGAATAATAAAATTATACAAACATCTAGAAAGTTATTAAATCAAAAGTAGCGGAGAGATAAAACGATTTATATTCCTTTCGAAAGCAAATGTGTTCGTGCAACCATTTTATTGTTTTCTTTGTTGAAAAGAAAAGTTACTGCCAACTTTAAGGAATTATGTTTTTCAAATTCAGTTTGATTTCCTTAACTAAATTAGATTTTTGTATCTTATATTTTGCTGTTCGAACAAATTTAGGAACCGAGCAATAATATCCTAGCTAAAATGAATTTCAAGTAAGTATTTAAGGTCACAAAATCATAGAAGCTTTTGTTTACCTATTAATTTGCATTTCGCTTAAAATGTGTTAGTAAGAGAATAAATGAAAGATGCAATATATCAAAAAGAAACTTAATATTAATTAATCAAATTCGTAGAAAACGTTTTTTTGACGTTCCTGATAAAAGAAATAATGTAATCGTAACTTACATATTGCTTGATTCTGTGAATAGGACTGCCTTTGAACGACAGGTTCATCAACTGAAATGAACAAAAATGAAATTTGTAAATGTTTTTTCCAATACTTCAGAATTCGAAATGATTAAATTTGCTAGCTTTCCATTTTTAAAATCTGATACTCTGAGAATAAATCTATAAGGAAAAAAAATTTTTTTTCTAAATGCATTTCTATGGTCCATGATGCAAAATGCTTAAAAGCTTTACATTAAGTTTATTATTGGATCTTACTTAAATGTGATTGATATTCAGTTAGTTCAATTATAATTACATATAGTATAAGGTATTTCTCCCACCTTCTTGGCATGCCTTCGTGGTGTGGTGGTCTGCACGCTGGGTGCGTATTACAGAGGTCCCCAGTTCGATTCCCGGCGAAGGCGTGGCATATTTTTCATTTCTTCTGTTTCCAAAATCCTAATGTGTCTACAGTGGCGCCCAAACGAAAAAGGGTGTTGAATGATGATTCTCCTCACCCAGGATTTGGCGATTGGGTCCCCTAAAAACTCCAGTCGAACTTAAATAGGGGAAGCATATACGGTATTTCTCTCGAATTCGTGGTGTGGTGATCTGCACGCAGGGCGCGTACTCCAGAGGTCCGCGTTTCGATTCCCCGCGAAGGCGTTGCGTATTTTTCATCTCTCCAAAATCCTAATGACTCTACAATAGATCTTAATAATTAAACTTTAAAAATAATCCCAGCATCGTATAATTTCAATCATCTATTTCTGTAGACAACAATAAGCATTTTCGTAGGCATTTTATGTGATAAGTCCGCGATGCCCTCGCCGGGACCTGAACTCACGAAGCTAGCCCGACGTGCTTTCGAAATACACCGCGAAGGCGTGAGTTAAATGAGGTAGAAAATGCATAATAACCTCATCGGTTACTTAATACAACTATGATTCTAAGTATTATGGAATCCTTTGCTGGAGTGAATTTTTAGTTCAATTATTATTGTATGGATTAGTAAATAATCAAACGGACTTTCTGCTGAATATCGGAATGTTTAATACAGAAGTTTCATAATATTTATATAAAACACACTCCAGATTTTGATAGGATATGTCTATAGCAATGTCTATAGAAAACTGAGAGTACCACTGCGTATGGAATCCGAAAATATCATGCTCCGCTTTACTTACGACCAGCCTACCGAGATCATTTTCGTATTGTCAGATTTTAAGTGCCTTTACTCTGCAAAGAAATTAAACAAAAACTCCCATCTCGTATCTGAAAATCTATTCATAACAACCTGTGAATCGGTCAACTTCCGCTAATCATAATACTTTATGCGAATACCATTTAAATGACTGAAATCATTCTGATCTTATTGTACACTTTATTGCGTTTTGCTTCTATATTGTTTATTAGGGCTGTTTTGTTGCTGCGGATATGAATAAACTTTATAAATTAGATTATTTTGCATTTTTGTTTTATATTTTCCATGCCATTATACTGTGTTTAGTTCGAAATTTTGGAATGATGAAAATTTTATAATGTACATTTCTCAATAATTTGGCTTACCAAAATGTAAGTTAATCTGACAATAAAACTAAAAAATATAATACCTCCCATATGAAAGTTTTCATATTAGAAAGTTGAGATAATATGATCATAGGTGTCATAGAATCAGAAAGCGTAAACAAACATGACTTTTAAAAATCATTCATAATCGCTTTATTAGTCTGAAGGGGCTTTGACCCAGAAGGACTATTGTTTTCATTTTGCGTTGCTTCACTGTAAATGTCCGTTTCACCTTTCAAACTGTTGCCACTAAATGTTATTGCCCTGCATTATATTTGAAGAAATTAAATAATGAAAAATCTGCATAAATGTTTGTATATTTCTCGCATTGTGATAAAACAACGGTACATAGAACGGCCATCGAATTTTGAACGACGTAATCCTACCGCAAATATGGGCATGTGGAAGTCCAAATTTGAAATCTGCAATTTTTTATTATCTATTTCATATTTTGTAAATCTTGAACGAATGCTTGATTAATAAATTCAAGGATTTCAAAGCGAGCAATGGCAACGTTGTACAGAAAAAAACACTTTTATCTCCAGCGCGTGAGACTGCGTATCGGAAATTCTATAGATATGCTCAATTTAAAACTATTTTTCGACATTGCTCTTTAATTGGATTTTACGGTTTAAGTGCAAAGAACGTGATATTTAATAAATAAAGGTAACAGACAAAATGTTAAAAAAACGCTTCTTTGGACGTAATTTAAAATCTAAAACTTTTCAGATTGTTATCTTTTTATTTGGTTTTAGCAGCACAGGAGCTACTAAACAACGCGCATTTTGCCATAACCGCCTTTCATATTGTTGCGTTATTTTTTTCTGACTTCAGTTGTTGCGTTTTTCTCTTCCTTCACGTTCGTACGGTGTTCGTTGATTTGGAGTGAATAACGACGACACTTGATAAAGTATCGAAACACACTTTATTTACCAATATTAATCAGGACAGCTCCAAAACTCTTTTACAATCGTGGAAGATCTACTATAAACAAACTGACACGATCAGCGACACAGCCTCCAGGTTATCAGGCTATCACGGCGGAGACAGCTTCACGGCAAAGCACTAGAGTACAGCTCTTGACTCTACTTGGTCGTTCTCGGAACTCCACGTACTCTCGAGACTCTCCACGCTACAACTCGCGATGCACTAAACGACACACAGGGCACAGCTTCTGACTCTTCGATTCAGCCGTTCCCGGAGCTTAATACACTCTCTCGACGATGCACTAACCGCGATAAACTAAGAGACTCTTCGATGCACTCGACGACCCACTCGGCACACCCTACCCGCCTGTCAACTCGATGGACTCCGCACGGACTGAATAACTCGAGACTATCTCGCACTCGACGAGGCACACTGTCGATACTAACTCGTAACTGACTCTCCGCGTAACAGCAGGCTTCATAGCTTTTGCCTTGTGTTCGAGAACATTTTGCTCTAAACCGGTAAGAATTCTTTCCAGAAGGTTCTACAACCGTCCGTGGTATATCGCCAATTTTGTCGCCAAATATCGCCAGATGTGCAATTTCTCGCCAAATGTGACAACTCTGCCCTTTTTTGCTATTTAATGGTAACCCTAAACCTGCTTTGCGTGGAAGCCATCTTACCACGCCTGTACATTTCGTAACAATATTGTTGCTACCAAATGCTACCGTCAAGTATTACTTTTGAAGAAATTAAAGAATATGCACGCATGTACTATATACGTTCCTTATATTGTGGAAAAAACGATGGTACCTAGAGCCATCAAAGTTTGAAGTATGCACCTGAAAGTTCGAATTTGCATTTTATTTATTTGATATTTTATACAAATTTAATGAAGTTTTGATTAACAAATTCCTATGAAACTAAGCCTTTACAACACTGTTCGAAATAAAACATTTTCAAGCGTGTGAGACTATTGCCATTCGAAGAAATGTAAAATATTTATCTTTCAGTAATTAACAAACTTGGCTATTTGACAGCAATATTTTGTCACTGCGAGATATAAAATACGTTTATCTTCCATGTCCCAGCGTGGTGTCATTCAGTGAAGTCTAAGATATTTAGCATTCAAATTTAATCTGAATGGTTACTGAGTAACAAACTAAGCGATTTGAAAGCAATAGACCCAATTCTTAAACATATTTTTCTACATTTTAACATGATTGATTTAAATAAAAATGCATTAAAATCATGTGATGTCAAATTAGAAATATTAAACCTTTTACCAGAGGAAACTATTTGGACTCATTGAAATCATTATATTCTTTATCACTTTTATGATAATTATGTTATGATAAGCATCTAAGATATCTTTCATGGAAACAGCTGGTCGCCTAAGCTGGGAGTTTCTAAAGAAATACTATAATGAACATAAAAGATGTATGTCAGCACTTCAAATACTACCATTAATTCTAAAGATATGCTATTTTTAAATATTTTATGATTTTGCTGTCGAATTTTATGTGGCGAAAGTGCGAAGAAAGTGATACTTAATAAATGAAGTTAAAAGCACAAAAAGTTAGGAATAAGAAGACAAAAACATGTAATTCATTTTATTTGCATCATATTAATATTCAGCATTCTGAAGGGTGTCCTTCCCAAAATTAATGCAAGATTTGGATTAAAAAAAACATGTTTTTTTCCTTTATATTGTTATTTTTTTATTGAATCGCCAAGTACACAGGACAGGGTTATGTATGGAATAACATATAGGGCAAATGGCCTCCATGGCTTTGCTGTCACATACGCACCCTTTTGTCGAAATACTCCATGCCCATTTTGCATAAATCTGGCTGAATTTCGTTGCTGCTGCCTTGAATTTCCGCCTTCACGCGTGCCTGTAGGCTTGTTGGCATAGATGTTTGACTTCAGATAACCCCATAAAAAGAAATCCAATGGTCTTAACTCACACGATCTGGGGCGCCGATTATTCTTATCACCGAAAGGAGAGAGTACACGGCCAGGAAATGTCTTTATGCTGTAAAATTAAATTGTTTCACTGGCTGTATGGCATGTGGCACCGTCTTGTTAAAACCACAAGTCGTCCGCATCATTATTATGCAATTTAGGCAAAAAGAACTGTGTTATCATGTTGCGATATCGAGCACCAGCAACACTCACTGCTTGACCAGCTTAATGGTCCACTGATGCCTCCTGCCCAAATTCCGATTCAAGCAGTGACAGGTTGAGGATGCATTTGGTTTTCGACAATCACTTGTGGGTTCTCTGAAATGCAAACGCAGCAATTTTAACAATTAACAAAGCCATAAAGGTGAAAATGGGCTTCATCGAAATTTTAGAACTGTGGTCGCCAGACTTTAATTATTTTTGAAATATTTTTCAGCAATGTTCTATTGTGTAATTTTCAACGTTGTTCTATTGTGTAATGTTTCTTTTCTGTTAACCCTGAACTATCAGCTGTCAAATCCGCTGTCATATGTTCTTTTAAATAGGGTTGCCATTAATTTACTGCACGAATGGCGGCAAATTCAAATCTTGCGTTAATTTTGGGA